TAAATTATGATTATATTATTTTATACTTACAAAAGTGATTGTCATTTATAAAATGAACTTTAAGTATTGACTAATTAGTAATTTTTATCACCTATATATTATTATTATAGCTATGCGTTAAATATTTATAATATATCTAATTATGATATGCATATGGTTTAAATTTAACAGGGATGGTATAAAAATTATTATTTTGTGATGTGTGTTTTTAAATTATAACATACTTACATACCTACCTATTATATAATTTTTCATGATTCATTAGTTGTTCTGACTTGTGCTTATGCCCTTATTTATATTTATTTGTTAATTTTGTTGTGCGGGTATATGGAGCATTTTATTGTCAATTTTTCTGTAGAAATTAAATGTTAATAAATATACATGGCGTACCCTCATATTTTGTAAGTAAGCTAAACCATGTCTAATTCTAAAATTCGAAATAAATTAATCAATACCATAGCTCGTATACAAGAGTATTCTATTGTAGTTGTCATTTATAGATAAATAGATACGTATGACTATAGTGATCGTTAAGAATATAAAGTTTACCATTTTATTAAATTTATTAATATGCTTTTTTACTGTTTGCATTATATATTATTATGTTTTAATATAAAATGTCTTTATATTTATTTAGGAAAGATGTGCTGACTATTTACCGCCTTCCGAAGTATTGGACTGTCACCGGTTGTTTGGTGATTATCAAATAACATTGAAGAAACGCGAAGTAAAGGAGAAATTTATCATTTCCAGTTTGCAGTTAAAGGTGCTTATAAGTCATAACTAAAATAAGTCTATAACAGGCATAATTCATGTTCATCGTAGACATTTAATTACGGAACTTTAGGGTGGATACAAAAATGGAAGAGGGGGGGGGGGTGGCTGAGTCTTTGAGATACTTTTCAAAATTTGTTATAAACTTATAACTCTTAAAAATTGACTAGTCATACTATAGTCACTATAAAAACGATGAGACAACAATACCAGCTGTGTGGCTGTGTACAATATTTTATTGGTAGATTTATGTAAATATTATGTTAACCACTCTATATAACTATTAACTACAGTGAATATTTTATTTTGTTATTACGTATAATTTAAACGCATATCTTGGATCCAGCTCTAGCACTCTAGTCCCTACCATTTTTTTTTTCGTTCCTAGATCTGTAACTCTGTAAGTTTATAATATAAATACCATTATACGCAGATATTATAACATTATCATTGTATAATGAACACGGGCAGAGAATTGTACGATGTTACTATGCGGTTGCAGATAGGTATCTAATATTAATTTCGACGATTACAACGCTCCGGGGTCCCCGAGGCCACTGTCTCAGAGTTTATATAACAGAATTTATTTAAATGTTCATGTTTTTTTTTTGCTCATCAATAGAACCTGGAGACGAACCTTTGGCGTGACGTGACGCACCTGTGGTACGGAGGTTGGCCAGTGCAAGGCGTGCCGTCCGACCCGGGCGCAATGTTGGCATTCGTCATGGAGGCCAGATCGCACATGAAGACCAACAGCGGTCCTCACGTGGTGCACTGCAGCCCCGGCACAGGTCGGACGGGAACGGTTATCGCATGCGACATGGCTATCAGAGATTTTGAACTGACTCGGACCGTCGACGTCCCGAAAACCGTGTATGCGATCCGGCGATGCAGGGCCGGCGCTGTGCAAACCAGAGACCAATACGCTCTCATATACAAGGTATACCTAATGATGTCATTTTACATATAATTTACCTATACTTTACGTTTATGATGATTATATAAGGCCTCGCTGGTTCTCATTGTTCACCTTACGTGCTCCTCAAAGGTGACGCCAAATATCAATACATTATCTTAAAAAAAAATAAACGTATAGGCGACTAGGTATTATATTATGTTGACCGGTGTCAGGTTGTCTCGGCGTAATTGTCCTCGTGCAGTTTATAGTTACTGTCACATAAGTTAGGTATCTTAGATTCTAAACAAAATACGAAAACAGCGATCACATTTTTTTTATCCCGAGTTAAACAACAGAAAAAAAACGTATACGCTATGTGCGTGTGTGTGTGTGCGCGCGAACGTGCTATGATATTATCAACGACCGGATTTCGGTGTTCCGACGTTCTCTCAGTCGGTGGTGTACAGTGACGCACCCGAAAAATGTTTTAAATTCCACTTACGGCTTATGTCGAATATAGGCAGAATGACTGTACCTACTTGTATAACTTGTATATCTATCTATACTTGTATATCAAAATACTTTTAGGAGGATGAATGTACTTTAGTTTCAGTGTAATATTAGTATGCCTCCGATTTTATCATTTCCGTACACCTTTTCTCCAGTTTATGGAATATCGATAGAGCATCAGTGTTCTAAAACATGTGTGTAGTATCTGTATGAAGATCGATAATCATTTTTATTCGAGTATTTTCTTAATTTTTAAATACAATTTTTGATTTATCATTGTGTTCAATTCATACAAATATCGCTTGCAACGAAATTATCGAACCGAAACGAGTCTCCTGAATTTCCGAATTCCTCTTTTGCAAGTCATAATATTATTTTATTCTACCTATTATTATAGGAATTACAGTAGAAACGTGTATGATATTATTTTTAACGAGTACTTACCCCCTCCCCCCATCACTATTGATCCAATCACAGTTATATAGTACGTCAACACTTAACTACCGCGAAAATTCTTTTTGTACTACTGTACGTCATAAAATATAACAATAATACTATATCCGTCAATAATGACGTGTAGTATTGTGTTTGCAATGTGCACGTTTACATAAAACATCAAATGAACGGCATTGGTAGACAATTTCAACGAGTCCAAAAATCTCACGGTTTATATTTCAATCGCGCTTTCTGTTGTATAAATAATTCAAACCGACTTATTAATTCAAAATATTATGTTAAAAATAAAAATTCAGACAACTTGATATTTTCTATACCGTTGGTTATGGCCAATTAATTACTTTACCTTTTTAATTTAAAATAATACATTTATGTTGAATTGTTCGGTTTTTATATTTTTTTAAATTTAAAATGTTAAGTGAGATTAATAATTTAATCATAATCTAATCGAACATGTTATTAATGATTTCAGGTGGTGAATCTGTATGCAAGTAAACTTTCAGGAGGTGTATTGGATTCGTTTTAGTGATATCTTACTCATCTTTTATTTTTATATATACTTACATATTATTATATATTTATATCGTTAGTTATTACGTAGGTAATTGATAATTTTATTATATCTATTATTACTATTTGTTAATATTATTATAGGATGGTGACTCTCTTTTGTACTATATACAACTCTTGTAAGTTCGCATGTAGGTTCCGAACAAAATTATTATAAGTCAGGACGATCAATAATCTCCGAGTTCAATCAGCGTTTCTGTGATAAGCAAATTATAATTCGTGATTATTCGTTTAATGCTAAACGAATCATCATTGATATATTATATTTAAGATCTTTTGAAAAATACGGTTAAATAATTAACAATTAAACTCTTTGTCCCTTTTATTTTTATTACTATTACGTATATAATATAAATTAGGTATGTAAATAGACGATTTTGTTTTTTGATAAAATTCGTTTTTAAGAAAATTCTTAGGAAAATTTCTCGATAAAATCTATAAATGGATCGTATTAACTTATATAACTTCATATTTTTTTTCCTTTTTGTACAACCTGATGGTTTATTGCCTCCATTGAAACCATACATCACGATAGTAGATCTTGTGGATTTATTGTTGTTATAACCGTTGAACAAGTATTTCAAGATATAATATTTATAATATTTTTAATAAGTTTGTTTACTATTCGTGTAAAACAATAATGAAAGTTCCTCTTTACGTATTTACTTTCGCATTGTCGGTATTAATACAGATAACTATAATATTACCTACGTATTGTATGTATAAAGATAAGTTACATTTGCGCTTAATTATTATATACATACGTAATATTGATAATTATTATATACATATATATATATTTTTTATATTATACTTAAATATATTATTTATATGTTTGAAAAAAATGTGTTCTTACATTGTAGGTAGTTCGTTTTGTAAGTAACAAAGCGGTAATGTTGTGACATATTATGATGGCAGTGTGAATGTCTCATTGGGGACCTGCGGTCTCAAATATATTTTTTTCGGTCTGATCACTGGTGGGTCGCTGGAGACTTCAGAGCTAAATGTATTTCCGGTTCAACAACTACCAATTATTATGTACACCTTAGTTTTTATTCCTGTTCTGTACTGACAGGGCTGCTGTCAATACGTTTACCGTCGGTATATTTTCCATAACGATTTGACCATGTGTAGCCAACATGTTGCAATACTGTATGATAGTCATAGACATATAATTTCTCTCATTCTTTCGCTCTCTCTCTTCCTTGCTCTCTCTCTCTCTCTCTCTAACTATATGTAATACATTAAAAATAAACACGTGATAAACAGAAGATGTGTTCATCAGCCACTCATCGCACGAAATGCTTACAATAATAACAATAAAAATAGTCTGTTTATTTTAGTTTTTTTTTTTACACAAATAATTTATCAGTGATACTTGCAATACAATCTTCAGAGTTTCAGACGGCGCGGAGGCGATTCGTACTTATACCGAATACCACGTATGAGGTTTATTACCACTGATTGTACAAACAGTACGAATTTTAGTTTTTTTTATGTTTAAAATAAAAAATAAAAACCATTCCTTCACTACTATAGTGACTAAAGATTGTATTATATAATATGATACGAATGCCAACTGTACATTAAATAATATTGTATAAATACCTTCGTGGTATAGGTGTGTGCGTAGGCGTAGGAGCATAATATTATAATAATATATAATTTATATTATATTGTTTTTATTACAATTTTGTATACGAATATATTATATTGTGATGAGATGTTTAGAAAAAAAAAATGTTTTATTAAAACCAATAAAATAACTAAAAAATAAAACAAAACGATAAAATACGAGTTATGATATCGTGTTTATAATTTTTGTTTTCTCCTGTTCAAGTGTAATGTCAAAACAATGAAACTATTTTGGGATAATAATAATAATAATAATAATAATAATAGCCGACAATGGCTGTTACAGAAATAAGAAGCGCGGGCGCTGAAGGCTCTTTATTTATCGTCGAAACGCGTTCTTTTACTGATGCCAAATCGCATGAAGTTTGTGTTATCCATTCCAGTGTCCGCATTCTTCCGGCGATTCATCAGCACAGTCAGTAGTTCGGCTGCGGTCGGCTTCCACACTGGTTCGACTGAAACGACACATAGATATGATTTAAGTATAAGTCGATTATGACTACTCATCTAGAGTCATAGTGAATTTGTAGAAAAATGCATTTTTTAGCAATACAAATATTAATGTATAAGTTGTTCTACTATAGATCAAGTTACAATGTTAAAATATTATGTTATAAACTCAATTATGATTATTTTATTTTGCATTTTGTTTTTACACAATATGTTAAGATTTTTGATTTACCAATCGTTATTTATTTTTTTTATTGTGTTTTAATGAATTTTAACAATTTAGTCAATTATCATAATATTTTATACACATTCAAAGATTATTTTTTACTTTACACTAACTGTACGTGGCTACATAATTTGTAAATATCTGTCTAAGAAAATGAAATATATATATTATATTACTTAATATATTAAGATTATAAGAGGAGTTGCGAAGGTATTAATTTAACAATTGTGTGTGTTTTTTACTCGAATATTTTGGGATAAGTTTTTTGAAGGTTGGGGTCAAATATATTTTATACTGTGAACTCCAAATTCGCACCAGTACACCAGTTCGTATTGCTTTACAAATATCAGCTTGTATTATTTAAAATAATTATTATATTATAATATAGTATGCCACAGCCCACAGGGAACCTGAACCCATGTGCGGGACGTGCCTTCGTGTATACCTAATTTTCAGAAAACACATTCTTAGAATGTCCCACCTCTCCAAAATCTAACGTTATTATCATCTCATCTAAAGAAACATTTGATACCGATCAAGAATCAAGAACAATCATAGATTTCTTTAAGATGTCTGAATCTCACAGCATGAACAGAACACAACACAGAAACCTATACTATCACAATTATTATTGTATTTTTGATCACTCCAAAATGCTACAATTGTACAAAACTTTAAACTATCGAAGGCCAATGAACAATATATTTGAAGTTTTATTCTAACTAAAAAATATATACATAATATGTGATTTGTTTGGGCAGAACATTTCAAAATAAATTTATATAAATATATGATCAAATATTACAATTCAAATTCAACACATCAATTACAGCTATTATAGTTGTTTCACAATGACAAGATACATTCGATATGTCCTATAATACTATACCTATAATAGAAAACTGATTATCCTATCTTTTTTACAGTTTAATAAGTACGTACCCACATAAAATATAGTTTTTTTTTCAATACGATGATACCTACTTTTTATATTTTTAATATTTCAATTTTAGTGATTTTTTTTTATATTAAATTGCAATTTTTAAGGTTTTTAGTTCATTCAATTAATATAGCGAAAAAAAGTTTTTAAAAAACATGAAAATATATCATTGTCCGAAATTGCATTCATATTGTTGAAAATGTCATGTATTCACATCGATATTCGAACAGACCAATTAGGCGTTCGTCCGTGTGTGATGAGTATTATCATTGATTATATATGTTATTTAGTAATATGGCATTATATATATATTATATTATGTATAATAAGTATAATACAATTGTATTATACTTATTATACGACTGTAAAATATCCTACGCATTGTGAATGTATTTTTAATTGTGCTTGAATGGAACGATTTCGTGCGGTGTTCGTCCGTCTGTGTAACTATTTTAATTTTCGCAGTTAAATTGTTTTTTTTTCTGCCGTAGAAAAAAAATCAAAGTTTTGTGAGCCAAAAACCATAGATAGAAGTTACTTGTTTTCTATATTTTTCTTTTAATAACCTACACAAAATTTGAGAGCTTTCAGAGGTAACCTATATAATATTATATTCCTATATGCACATTATAATATTACCTATAATACATTATAATATTTTGTATTTATAAAAGTATTATGTTAAGAAGAGTTGCTCCTAGTATTTTGATTTAAACATTAAGAAAAATTAAAGAAATAAGTAATATTACTAAAATGATTAAAAAACTTATATCACAAAACAAAATTCAAGATATTGTATCTATCATGGTAAAAAAGTAATGGATAGTTTTGACAAACCGCAAAACTAGCAATTTTTTTAATCATAAATTTACACTATTGGGTTTTTAAGCGGAATAGTAGAAAATCGTTTGCATGAAAAAATTATTCTATTGAATTTTATTATTTACAACATTTCGTAATATTTTCATGCATATGTATGACTCTTGTTATAATTATTTCTATCAGCTTAATTTTAGTGCCTTTAAATTTTATGCTGGATACGGCTCAGTTGTTACGATCAAGCATATGTATATAAATATATAGATAAGTACATATCGTTTATTTTAATATATAGGTATAAAATAAAACATATTATATGACTGTATGTTTATTGGGATCCCATATCAACTATGCGAAAATAGTGGCCATAAATCGCTCAATATATCCAATTCGTTATGTTTATAACATAGTTTGTAATGTAACTAATAATTTCACTATATTTTTTACTACAGTGTTGATGTTTTTTTTTGTTTTTATTTATTCACAATATGACATATTATGTGGGTAGTATTTATTACCTGAAATGTTTTTATTTTCAGAATTTCGATTTACAAATATCGTGTGTTGGTAACAATTTGATTATTATTCGAACGACGAGAATTTGTAATGCGCAGATAAACATTTTTTTGGGTGGTTAATTTCAAATAATGAACAGACCGATTATAACACCTAAATAAACGATCGGTTTAACAGTGTATTAATACTATGCCATAATATTATTGTGTTTATTCATTATTATAATATATTGTACTAAAAAGATAAAATTATAATATAATACAAACTGAGCAACAACACGTTTTTTGAATTAATAATATCGTAATCCTGCAGGTCTCAACAAACCCGTGAAACGAATAATAATATTTTTTTGTGATTGTTAGGTGAACGCAGTTTGCCTGGGCTTTTCTACCATAATTGTATAGTATTAAAACAAAAAAAACTCTTTATTTTCGATTTTTATATTGGTCGGTCAACCCGAGTTATGTATTTTACTTCCGTCCGTCGTGTAAAATTGACAATACTCGTCACATGTATAATGTATAATATTATTATTGCGCACTTATGAAGAGGAAACAAAACTATTGTTTGTGCCGAAAAACCCCTGTTTGTTTGGCGACAAATGTGCACGCACGTCATATCAATGATAACGATTCTCGTGCAGTCGCGAGGGACCTTCCCGCGGACATGGTGTGAAAAGTAGTGTCATTATATTAATAAAGGAGGACCACTATACACGACACGAGTGAAAAATTGAGTCTTGCTGTTTTTTAGGTTTTTTTTTTTACCATGTACCTATGTTTTATAGTACAAGATATCTGTAAAAAAATATTATTTTTCAATAAGCGCGAATAATCAATACCACAATATTATGAGTACCTATAGGTATAGGTAATCATCGACCTTTGGTGAAGAAACTATTCCACTTGCGTGGAACTTCATGGGGCATAGAGTGATCGATTTCGTACTGTCGCTTGAGACATCCAGACACCATAAGTTGCTTTTGAAACAGAACAGCCCAGTATAGATACAACAAACGGATTTTGGTAGAATATTTAAGGATTACCATGTGGTTGGATAAGTCGGAGTGTAAGCGTTGGTAAATATTTTTGCCAGCGCTTTAGAGGTCATTATTTTATGGAATGTACTATTTGAAACATAGAAAGGTGCTTTGGTAGTTTTATGGCACTATTTGAATAGGAATGTTTGAATTATGTTTGAGGGCTTGGCTCGAGAGTTGGATGCCATATGGCCATATTTAAGTATAAGAGAATTTTATTATTCTATACGACTATTCGAATAACAAGATTGACAGGAAATCTATTTGGTCTAAAAATATGAAAATAATTTTGCAATAGAATTAGGACGTTTAAAATATTATCATGGCTGACCTACGAATCGTTGACAAAATTGGATATTGAAAAAAAGTAACGACTTATTATTTTGTTGTACCCAATTCAAAATATATAAATCGTAGACCTTCTGTACACCATTATTTAAATTAGCAATTTATACCTAGGGGTGCTGTCTATATAAACGGCAGGGATTAAATATAATATTACCATTCGTTAAGGATTGAAGGATGTTCTTTATTATTCAGTTAGTAATTAGTTGTTAGGTGTCTTATAATGATATTGTGAACCATCGAGTCCTCATTTATCTACCAAGTCTTTCTTGATTACTATTTCAACGATTCTTTTATGTTTTTTCTTCTGCAGTTAATTTTAAAAATGTACAACATTATTAAGCACTTATTATTATAAGTCATAGCAATAGTATAGATTTCTAAAGTTTTACAATTCTTATGCATATCTTTTTTATATAAGTTTATCACTTGTGAAAACTATGGCGATTATTTATAATTTGTACTTAGGTGTACCTTACCTAACCTATACAACGTCTCATAAGTGCATATTTTGTATCCAACCACTATTTTTTAACCCTTAGATCCTTATACCTGTCTCAAATTCAATGACTAAAAAACACACCTATTATTATACCGTCTGCAAATTACAAATGTTATTGAAACGTCAAAAATATTGACAGTCGTTAAACAGCGTATTGTTATATTTGCATTTATAGGTCATGGTAAAGCTGAAGCACTATTGCAGCCGCTCAGCGATAATAAGAGTTTCAACGAGAGCCGTGTCAACGTGTATAAAGTTGGACCACCCACATAGTACAAACCACTTTGAACCACCAACAATAATTTTCAAGTGATTCGAAAGAATATGCAAGTCCAGTTTTAGAATTTGCGAGTACTTACACCGTTTTTATGTAGACATAACTGTAGTGCCATCATCGTGTAGTCCACCCAAGGTGTCCTAAATAGTTGAAATTGATACCACGCAATAGTCAATAATATAATAATATAATATGTGTAACTTAAATAGGTTTATTACGAAAGCAAAAAAAATGTGCTGAAATTCTATTGTGCATATTTGCGAGCTTGAGCAAAATATTTTAAAAGCACATATAATATCCATATTTCAATAGATTATTATAACAACAATAAACTGTCAAAAATAATTGTTCGCAAAGACAAGAGTTGTATTTACACTCTTGCACGGACTCCCTGGCAGCTAGTAAACCAGAGTTCATCTAACGTACCTACCTACTTATTAAGCCATTGTACATTTAAATACGGAAATCGTAAATATGGTTTCCTTTAATTAAACTCGAATCATTTTTCTTAGTGACTTTTTTATTTCCAAAGAGTATTTTATATTATCTATCATTTTATTATATTATAATATTCATATTATATGAACCATTTGTGTTGTTATTAATGAAGTCGCCTTCACAGCTACGTCGTGTGTAGTGTCGTGCAAAGGCGTGGTAACTATGGTTACAACTGGTAACCATATTGGTTTAAACATAGAGCTGTAGTCAATTCTTGGTTATAATATGATACCAAAAAACTAACGTCCAATCACAATGTACGAAATCGAAATAAACATAATTATATGCAGCATGGCTTGGTGAGGAAAATTGTATGCTAGAACCGGAATGCAACCGTTTGGGTCCCCGAAGGAACATGGTCTGAGAATCGCTCAAGTTATGCGCGGCTTGTCACTAAATAACAATCTGAGTACTGTCACTTTTGGAACGGCGAAGGTCGTCATTGAATTCAGCTTTTATTTTGCCATACCTCGGCATTTCTAGTGTATGTTTGCAAAAGATGAGTACAACTGTACATATATTTAGGGAAAGGACGAGGTGCATTTGAAAATTGTTGGCTAAGACATATTTTATCGGTGAGGTTCTCACGCGGTTCGACCAACCATAATTCTGTTTACGGTATAATTATACCTATTGAGGATAGCGCGTAACCGCGGTCGCGATGCGTATCTAATAAGGCGTCGGCCTGCAGTGTTGTATTGTTTTCTCAGCGTCTGATTTTCGATCGTCCAACAGTTATGTTTATTTTTTGAGAAAGCGTACGTTTTTTGCTAAATGTATTCATTGCTTTATCATACATTTGTTACATGACAAAAATAAGCAAAAAGGGAAGGATATAACACCTTCATCCCCCCGTGTGCACGCCCATGTAAAATAGGCTCGAAGGGGAGGCTATTAGAATTTGTTCATATTCAAGTATATCAGTAGAAACATGTACTTACTTATATCGTTGGGCCCTATAAAACATAATTTATTGTAAGACTAAATACTATACGTAAGATTATTACTTAAACAGTTTTATACTTATATGACTTATATATATATAATATATATCATTACATCGGTTTCCATCGTCGTTCATGTAGTTCCTGTTGGCGATCATGGCGAACGGAAGCACTGCGCCGGACGTTTGACTGGACCTCAACCTGGCCACCGGATGATACGGTACGGAATATCTCTTGCGGTTCAGCTGGAACGTCAGATAGTTTGGCGTGTCAGCGTAGATCCTCTCGTCCAAACGGCTGTCCTCCCAAGGCGCTGGCACCGCCGAAAAACCGTCATTGTCGTCATCTGTAACACACACGCCCCGCCGTCAGTCGTAGCTCGTAAGTGGTAATTGAGAAATTAAACATTCATATAATTGGTTCACAAGTGGGTGAGTAACGATGAATCCGTATTTTAGATAACTGATGTATTGTATGATGTATCAAACGTTTAATTAAATTATTATAAATGCACTTAAACACTATAATTTAGTTATTTTTCTGAGACGTTTTAGAACTTATATAAATTAAAAATCATACAGTAGGCAAAAGAATAAAACTATAAGTGATGAAGTCTCTAAAAAATAAGCCATAGACAATTTTTTTTAAATAACACTTAATATTTCTAAATTTTCTAAATTATGAAAATATTTTATGATGAAGAAACCGGAATATTTGACATATACTGTGTAAATATTATGTGCCAAATGTTGAGTGTTTATAAATTATTGTGAACTTTTTGATTCAAATAGTTGCATAATGTGACTGACTGTGTGCTTAAGTGGTGAGGGGGTAATAGTGGTGGCATCAAAACTTTAACTATTTAGCTTCAGTGTCGAAAATTTATTCTACGATAGTTTTTTGGATATTATTACAATAAGTATACATAGTCCATGGCACCTTTATGGCAAGGTGATAAAAAAAAATACTTCATTAGTAGATGTGATACGAAAAATTCACATTAAATGTACATCTGCTAAATAAATAGACTGTATTTATGTAAAATCAGTTATAACGTATAATTTTAGCTTACATGAATATTTAAGTACCTATTTCAGGGTGAAAGGCTTCATATGAAATAAATCCGGAGATGGTTTTCTCTATCGTTAAGCCTTTCATTTTCTTAATAGTTATATCAAATGCCATACGATACGAGACTTAAGTTATCTACGTTGTTTGCACCGCAGTTTAAAATGTTAACAATATTTATGTAGGTAGAGGAACTCAATAGACTCATGCATGATGTGTTACAGCCAATTTCATTGAACTGAGTTTATGTAATATAATAATATTAAATGCAAAATTCAATTAAATATTAATACAATTGTTATCAGTATTTATGAATTTATGATGAATACAATTTCATCCTCTTTGATAAATTTAAATACGTCACTAGTTCAAACTTTCAGAGTATTGCTAAACATGTTAGTTTATACTTTAAACTTCTTTCATTATTATATTTTGATTTTAAATAAATGTGATTTTATAACACTAGAGACAACTAATCATTAACTTCAAATATTAATATATAAATTTGTTAATCAGAATGAAAAATACATTTAATAGTTTTTCAGAACATCATATTATTTTAAATTGGCTTTGTAGTAAAATATATCATATTATACCTATAGATAAATAAAAAGAAAACAAGATAAATAAATGTAATCATGTAAAAATTATAAACTAATATAGTATTATTCATTTCATCTACTAGTTTTTTACATAGTAAAATTTGAACTATAAATAATATATCATCCTAATATTTTAGTGCAAATTACAAACTTAAATCATCAGATATAAGTATATAACCATGTGTTTTGTCTAATTCTGCTGTGAATGAATATGCCCAGGTACCTACTAAATAATAATTTTATTAAATTGATTTTAAGATGATTCGGACTTTCCAACCTATCTACTTGCGAAAAATAACTGATATCATTGGTAATAACCGATAAAAATCTTCATCACACATAGAAATCTGCAGTATTTTTAACTTTTACAGAAATTGTTGAACAAATAAATTTTAAGTTTTGTACTTAGGATAGTTAAGGTAACACTAGTGTGTACCTGAATTAACATTTTAGTAACAAAATATAATAGTTAAAATAGTAAAAAATGGTGTTGGTTTATTAATTTATACTATATAGTATTATAGTTAAAACTTAAAACAACATTTATTCACTGTATAATTTGAGAAAATAAGTTTTAGATGCTATATTTTTTTAAAACAACTATAAATACACTAGTCGTATTTACATTGACATGGTGTTAAAAGCACATGAAAATATTCATGTGTTTAACTATGGTTAAGACAACACCAATGAATTGTTAGATAAAGATACAATGACATAAAAAAAAAAAACTTAAACATCCATAACCTTATTAATCAAATAGTCAAATTACATTACTTTAAATTTCTTACTGATTTAAACTCTCGTAGTAATCAACTAATTAAACAATTATCTAATCCATCTCACTTTCTGTTAATATATCTACATAGAAGACTAAAAATACAATGGCCCAGAGAATTACTAAGATAAAAAAAATCAACAAAGTTTCTGGTTGGGTTGGTGAATGGTGATCCCATAAATGTTAATATTCGTTTGTTATGTTGTAATATTATAAACTAGTTTCTCATAAAATTTACTTATTAGACACTGTAAAAGTGTGTAGTTGTAAATAAAATCTTTTTATAGATATTGGAATTTTAGTAGGTTTGGGTAAAAAAAATGAGAACTATATTATATGCGTATGTGTCCTACAGTAATACCAGGACCTACTCATGAGTCGTGTGTAAGATTTAAGTAGTCATAATCTTTTGTTTGATTTTGGTATTATCATATTATTATATTAGAGGGGTACAATTAATACGCGCTGAGGAATTTTGGTGTTCTAAAATGACAGAGTGGAAATTTCAAGTCCAAGTCTGTTTGCCGCATAGACGCATAGTGGCGTATGCATATTGTATACGGATGTACTTAATTGTGCGTTAGTAATCGAACGTGGGTATCTGATTATAATGCCGAACAAAGGGCCACGTGGTTTAAAATAGGTCGAATAATAGGTATATTATTATATTACCTAAGTAATATAAAGCGTCAATTATTGAGATGCACATTTCGGTCGAGTTAACATGCATCTGAGGAATGTAAATTGTTGACGGCCCGGTGTCCATATGTGGGTATGTTAACGCGAATTTGCCAACAAATTAAACATCAGAGCTATTGCTGTAATGAATGGGTGAATATTATAAAATCATTCTTATATGTAGGTATACATATTTCGCACTTTTTGATTTGTTTTTAATAGTGAAACAATGAAATTGACCATATGGAGAATTCAGCTGGTGATAGTTATATTATATATCTACCTTTAAATGTGGGGACCCAACCAGGATTTTTACTTTTTACTCGCATTATAATTAAAAAATGTTTAAATTATTTGCAGTAATTTTGTTTTGAAATGACTATACAATTATATATTTTAATTTTCTTTTCCGGTCGTTTCAGTTAATGACTTTATTATAGGGCCTCTATACTCTAGGTTTAATATTATGATTATTTTATACTTACCTGCTTATTATATTCTGTCAATAGTATTTTATTTATCCACTAGTCATCCATGTTTATAATTTAATGTTTGTTTTTTCTTTGATGTGCAATAAAATGAAAAGTAATATACTTAAATAAATATGCATATTATGGTAGTGTCTTGTAATATTTTATTTTCAAATTTATGCCGGGGCGCATAAACAATCGCTAAACATTTAATGAATTTAATGTGAAGTAATGGTATATTAACCATGATTTAGTAGCCCATGATTAGTCCATTACATTTAAGTGGACATTTAAGTTGATCAATTTTTTATGCATTCCGACATAAGTCTTACGAATGCAAAAGAACAGTGGTCTGAATTATTTTAATATTTCCATTCTGAACTTTAAATAAGTACCTATCTAGTATTGTAATGTGTGATCTTTAAGTATAGGCACTTAAAAGTTCCAAAATCAAGATATGATAAATGTATTCAATAATTAAGAGAGAAGCATAATGACGAATTGCCCAATTTATTAATTAACATAATGGCGGGTGTGCTTAGATTTACAAATACCTATTGAATTTGAACCACTATTTTCTATAAAAATGGTAAAACACTACTTTTAAAGTAATCAAACAGATGTATATATGTTTTAAATACTAATACAATTAAATTATTAAACTTGACTCTATTAAGGCTGTATTAGAGCAGACAATTTGGAATATTTATATGTATAAATATGCTGTATGTATTAATTTAAAATTAAAAAAAAATATATACAATGTATTTAGTTTAGATCTTAGATGTCAAGTTTTGATAACCAGTGTGAAAATGTCCAATAGTACCTACCTATAGCAATAGCCTAAATGTTAGTGTAAAGTATAATATTATAATGGAAATGTATTCACTTGACCCTCTTACACTTGTCGAACCATTGTTGTAAATATTGTATTCACAGCATTTGATTTAATTAAATATGAATAATACAGTACATAATATTATTATATTAATAGATCTTTAAACCAAAATATTTGATAAAATGATACCTGATGCAATGTATTATTAGTAGATTGTAAGATTTTTTAATTGATCAATATAATTTAAGTATACATTGATATTTTAGTATTTTACTGCTATGACGATTATTTGATATGCATTTTAAGACAAAATCGTATCATTTTGAGTTTCAAATTTCTTATTTATTTATTTTAAATAATACGTACACACAAAGACCTGATCGATCACATTGTATAAAGAACGTCCTCGGCAGATTATTAATACGGAGACAATAATCATTATTTCAGTGTATGAACATTTAATGAACAGGTTAAGTTAAGGTATTGAAAAGTCCTACTATGCCTTTCGGAATTTTGGGTAAGTCACTTTTGATGTTTGCAAAGTAATATTATTCACCTATTTTACATAAATTATTAATTAAATTACATCTTTTTTTAACAAGATAAAAATATACAGGGGTCTTAAATTCGATGTAACGTGATTAATCTCTGTTGAAATATATCGATGTTTGCAAAAGTTAAGATTACTTTGAAATTGGAATTTATTTTATCTGTTAAAGAAATGTAGAACACATTAAATTAGTTCGGTAAGCGTCAGAGTATTTTAGTGACTCCGATTACAGTTTAGATATATACACGACTACGCAACTGTAATTATTATTGTTGTGGTCGATTGTCAACAACAAATGTGTTTTTGAACACAAAAACTTTGGTTTTTGACTCTTTTAAGTATTCAACTCAATCGCATTATAATTTAAATTTTTGAAATGTTCAAATTTTAAAAGTAAACAATAGGTAGGTATACAAAATTGTATTCAATATTATATTTAATGATATATTTTCAAAACTATTCTCCGTATTTTAAAATACATTATGAAAAAGCAGAATTATTTGCGAAACACAAATTTTGATCAAATTAATTTTGTTATTTGGTTATAATTCAAAAGTTAATAACCGCAGGTAAGAAACATGTTTCCCAACAATTTAAATTACCTAGCATTATTTTGACATTATTATTAAATTTAAAACAAAAAGGTTCTTTTTGAGTTATTCGTCGACATTACATTTTCTTTTTTTCTTTTTTTTTCTTAATCGAGAAGCTTGGAAATTAAACAAACTTAAGGTTCCTCAAAAATAATATTTATACTCGTAGCAAACAAAAATTTAAGTTTCAACATATTTTGTCAATGACAAAATATAATATTTAAAAGAAAAATAATGATATTTCCACTAATAGTTTTATTTTTTTTTGTGGTAGTTCGAAAAATATTAATTTATTGTTATTTTATATTCACACTGAAACTTTCAAAATATTAAGATTATTGTTATAACAGTTAAGCTATTTATGCCACTAGTCTACGAAACCATTTAGTATTTAAAATGTTCAATATATTAACTTGTAAATTAATGATTATAATATAAGATACAATACAACAATAATTATCTTATAATATACTTATATACTTGATGCTTTTAGTAAAAATAAGTCCGATTTGATGTATTATTAGGATTATTAATATAGAAAAATAAAGAAGATTAATAATAATATAAATAAATTATAAAATATCGACGAATAAAGGCTAACACACTCACACATCATCTCCGCTAATAATCGCTTACTTATGCAACAATTTAATATTGAATTATAACTTAAGTCATAAATTACACTGAATTATCTACTCAATAACGAGATACATTTGAAACGTATTATAAAAAATAAGTTTTTTTTTACATTTAAAATGAAATATCTAAATTATTGTCATGTCTGTAGTGAGCATCTGTATTAAAATGTCCAAAATTGATCTATGAAAATAGATTAACTTGATCCATAACTTGAGATTTAGCGAAAAGTCGAAGAATAATTATTGTGACTGTGAGATCTATTGTCGGGTCAATTATAAATGATTTTAGTCCTGTTACAAGCTGTGTTTGTTAATGGGGAATCGTGCTATAATTTATTAATAGTCGTATACCTTCTTGCCTACTAGATTTGCTTAATGCTTGTTAAAATATTCTAAATAATATAATATGTGAATATTTGAATCAAGATGTTAACCACCTAGCTGTCGTATATAAGGCGTCATAGGTATTACCTAAAATTTGGTGAACATAGAGTTTGGTATTTATGAATTTATGATATTATCATTTATCAATTATGTGCCTATGATCTATATCTAACAACATGAAAATTATTATTGATATTGGACACATTCATTTTATGATAATTAGTCAACAGTTTCGGGTTACTAATTGATTACCATATTGATGGCATGGACATTTATTTGTATACTAATATATAATCATAATGTATAGTATATAAATATAGGTACATATAATGTGTAGGTAATATACCACTACTAATTTAACAAACCACTCATTAATAATTAATTAATATAGTTTCATGCACATATTTTTAATTAATTAAACATTTTTCGCGTGAAATATTTCGAAAGCGTGTGTTGATTATAATATGTTCTAAAAATAGTTGTATTCAAATGAACATAAACATTAAACACCTATACTCAATAATACTGAAACTTATAACTAATAACATATTTGTTAAAAATCGGCGACAGTGTTGAAAATTATGACCAATGTCTGTGATTTTATGTATAAATTAATAAAAACAAGGTGTAGAAAAATGTAATGTGATTAAGCTGTGTTGAGTCAGCAAAAATTTCAAACCGTGCTTAAGCCTTATTATTTATTTCGGTAAAGTCAATATCCAAAATATTGACTTACACGTAATATACATTATATATTTATTACATTATTGTATATTATATAATAATATAATGTAATTAGATTAAATTGTTTAGATTTTAAATCTTTGTGAATATTAGAATATTATATACTAGGTACCTATATTATTTAAAAAAAAAAGCACGTAACTGAATAAGCAAATAAACTATCATTTTTTATTGAAAATGTCTATACAGTATTTTATAAAATGTAACCATTAAACTACATGTGATTAATAGGGTCATTCTAGTTTTTAATCAGTCAAAATATGAATAAAATGACATTTTTTATTTATTTCGTTTCTCTTATTGGTGGTTTGACTTAATAATAAACACAAATATTATTTGTAAAAGCACCTAAATCAAATGTCCAAATGTCCAATGCATATATTTTATAATGTATTGTAGTTTCACAAAATATGTTTAAAATCACTATCGCAACATGCAGTTTTTGCATTTCAACTTACTCGTTGACGGCAGAACGACGGAAACAATAAGTAACAAAAACACGATACCTATAGTATGTAGCTGTAAGAGGACGTGTATAAATGGGTGCAATACAGCAGTGGGTAAATTCATCATATTTTAGAATACATTATATTATATAAGATTATTATGTATTAATATTTTTACAGAATTGAACTTAGTCTTACCGGTGATGCCGGCGGTGGACGCGGCGACAAAGCCGAAGACTAGGCTGGCGACGAACGTCAAGTGTACCATATTGTCGCGCGGTTTTTGTCGGTTCTGATTCGATCGGCGCGAAATGACGAAGGTACCTAATACGATGACGATAACAATATTTATAATAACAGTTATTAACCATAATAATATATTATAACAAAATATACTTATATTATATAGTATATACCTATAATATTATAGTGTCGACGGTATTGTTGCGGACAGCTGAGCTTTTATAATACAATAAATTGCTGTAGTATAGTGTTGCTATAATATTATATACTATAACGTCTCTATAGTTGGAGAACTATTATAATTTTTTATTGTTATAAAATATGCACCTCGTCGGCGGATTCGCTATACTTCTGCAGGAGTTTTTCTCGAGCGCGGGTGCTCGCGGTCGGCCTATCCGGTGTGGTGTGTTCCGGCGGTGGCGGTTCGGAAAAACGCTCGCGTGTCCGCGGCGCAGGTGAGAGAGCGCGGCGGCGTCGAGTGCACCGGCCGTGTATAGCGCGCGAGACGCTGCAGCAGACGACGCGGTGAAAACCAAAACCGATCTCGGGGAGGGACGACTGCGGCGGCAAAATATTACGACGATATTATTTACAACGGGTAATGTAGCAAAGACTGTGCTATTATGTCGTTATTATGACGTTATATTATTTCGCGTGACCGAAACGAGCGAACGGCGCTTTCTGAGCCGCCGAATAGGTGGTGGTGGTTTATATAATATATGCGATATCATATTATGATAACTCGTGCCCACATCGGACGAAAAGAAAGGGTGTCGAGCGTAGGCGGTCGCGGGCGGTGAAACTTTGGCGCTCGTCGTCACCCCGGCCGCTGGTGTCCTGTTGTTATAATTATTATTGTCGTCATCGTCGACGTCCGCGGGTATTCCACCGGCACTACCGGTTCGGTCTAGCATACCTTAGTGTTATTATTATTATTATTATTATTATTGGTGTAAAATGGTATGCCGTACTCAATATATATGTATGTATTATATTTGTCCGTCTAGTGTGG